CGCAAAAATGGTTCCAAAAAACCTTTTTCAAGTTAAAAAGGAAAGTTCCCTATACTTTTTTGATTTGATTGAAAATAACCCCCATTTTCTCGAACGTGCATTACTGGTGACAAGTCTTGGGGGTTTGAGTACATCCCAGAAACCAAGCGCCAGAGTATGGAGTGGCCCAAAAAACCAAATAAAGACGAAGTCAAAGATCAAATGCATGCTGATTTGTTTTATCGATATCCACGGAATCGTCTACAAAGAGTTTCTACCTCAAGGCCAAACGGTCAATCGACACTTTTACCCGGAGGTTCTTGAAAAACTTCGAGAAAGGGTCATTCGTATGAGACCAAACATCAAAAACTGCGTGCGGGATAACGATAGTGCTCCTTGTCACACAACAATGTCAATAAACGAGTTTTTGACCAGTAAAAACATTCATTTTCCCGAAGGAACTTATTTTGTATCAGTCGAAATCATTCAAACTACTGTTACTAACCAGCTGAAGTCTATTCCAGTATCAGAGTTCCAGCACTGCTATGAATAGTCGAAGAACCATCTCCGACGATGTGTGGCTTCAGAAGGAAGTTATTTTGAGAATGACAATAAAAAATTGTAATTACATTTTGTTAAAAAAAATTAAAAGAATCAGTCTCATTACTAAATTTACAGACCTCGTAGATTTTTTTATACTCCAACTTCCACGAAGGTCTAAACAACCATGGGGTACTGTGGTGCTGTAGGGGGATACATGGGAAAGGAGATACAGGAAGTATGGTGAGGAAACACGTGTGCATGCAACATGCACACATTCTGGCCCCGCCTACGAGATCCGCCGGGTGGTACCTCCGCGTTCGACAGTCAGAGACCGTCTACCACATATGGACGATAACAACATCTATAGCCAAGAGAAAAGTTTCTCTTGGGACGGGACTCGAACCCGCACAGCGCACAGCGACTTATCAGGAGACCGAAGAGTCTACCACTGCGGCCACCGCTGCTGCCTAAGATTGGCATTTTTGAATAATTTGCGTGAAAAACCATAGGCGTGAAAAGCGCCAAGAAAACAGTAGCCGAACAAACCATAATAATAAAGCTGATAATGGACCCTGAAAATCTCATGTGCAGATAAAAATGGAGTCCAAAAGATAAACGATGTAGTCAACAAGGAACTGGGCAGTTCATACAGTGCAAGAGTTGTAAGTAATCGCCAAAATCCTAAATTGAAAGTTGTGGGGATTGAACAAATGATTGATAATGAAACCCTTATCGAAGTGATAAAACAACAAAATATTTTTGTAGAAAAAGGTGCTTATTTAAAAGTTCTTAAATTTAAACAGATGAGGACAAGAATCATAGAATGTGACCCAAAGACATTTCAAAATATTCTAGAAAATGGTATATTGTGCATTAATTTAACAACATGTTCTGTTTATGAGCACATCAATGTATTGAGGTGCTATAATTGCAGTGGCTACAACCATATGGCCAATAAATGTAACAGTGACATGTTCTGTATGAAATGCGGAGAGAAGGGTCATAAAGCTGATACATGTTTAAACTCTAAAGTATCTTGCCCGAATTGTCTGGAATTTAACAAAAAATTTAAGTTGAGCCTTAGTATTGATTACTCTGCTTTCGATAAAATTAATTGTTCAGTCATGAGGAAGAAGATTGAAACAGCCAGGAACAACATCAACTATTCTATATAGCAATCAAGACGCAATTTAAAAGTTACGCCAAATAATACCATTCCAATTAACTGCGGAGGCTTTACAAAACAGAAAAATAGATTAAATGTATCCCATGTCAATGTTAGGTCACTAATCTCAAGCTTCGATATGTTAGCAGACACCATACTAGAACAAAATTTCCACATCATAGCGTTAACTGAGACTTGGCTTTCTTCAGACTTCCCCTCTGATTTGATTTCTCTGCCTAACTACCAGCTTATAAGAAATGATAGAGAAGGAAGAGGTGGTGGTGTATGTTTTTACATCCAGTCTAGCATAAAGTGCAGAGTTATAGATCTTCGGAATATTCCTTCAAATGGCATTGAACATCCTTGGTTGTCACTAAAATTCGAGAGCAAGAGTATTGCAGTAGGTGTTATCTACCGACCACCGTCCAGTCGACTGAACATTCTATCTGATTTGGAAAATATCCTTGCCTTTATATACGTCACACATGATGAAGCAATACTATTGGGCGGTACCAACATCGACCTCACCGATGAGCATGCTGGTCAAAGCAAACAATTTTTGCAAATGATGTCCCTATTCAACATCAACAACCGCGTAATTAATGAACCAACAAGAATAACAGCAAATACAGCAACAATGATCGATATCATTTTTACAACAAATACACTCACTGTTTACGAGTGTGGAACTCTAGACATGCCAGAAGTCACTGATCACAGATTGTGCTTCTGTTGGAAATTGAAACTCCGGAATACACACCTGCAATATTTTACTACAAAGATTTCTCGCATTTCGATCACGTTGAGTTTACCAACGATGCTGCTTCTGTGGAATGGAGCTACATAGATGGTTTGCCAAGTCTTGATGACAAAGTTCTTCACATTACCGAAACTTTTTTTTATTATGCTCTACAATATACATGCCCCTTTGAAAAGAATTACTTCACGTAAGAACTACAGACCTTATGTGACACATACAATCAAGTGTATAATAAATTTGAAGCGGAAAGCATACAACAAGTTCAGAAGAACCAGAAATGAAGAACATCGTGCATATTATAATGATCTAAGAAATTATTTAGGAATAGCTTTGAAGAATGAAAAAACTGCTTACATAAAATTCCAGCTTAATAAGTATTATAATAATCCTAAACAGATGTGGAATAGTTTCTCCAGGTGGAATATACACACAAAATCCAGTAAACACATATCACAGGACATTGAAAACACTGAAAGCATCAATAATCACTTTATTAACTCTGTACCAAACCTGCAGCCAGATGACTTATTTCTTAACACATTCTCATATCAAAAAAATTCTATAGTATGCAAGTCTTCATTTAATCATGTTACATCAGACCAAGTTGAACTAAAACTAAAAGAAGTCAAGTCAAATGCTGCGGGTGTTGATGGTATCACTACAAACATGTTAAGAAACGTGTTCTCTTTTTGTAAATATCAGCTAACCAGTATGTTGTGTTGGTTCTAGACTAGCGATTCTGAAGTGTAAACAAGTAATAAATATGAACATATTTTTAGAAGGAATTAACATTGAATTTGTTGAAGAAACAAAAAATTTGGGAATAGTACTTGATAAGAATTTAAGTTTTGAAAGTCACATTATAAATAAGCTCAGAATATGTTATTATAAATACAAAGCGCAATGGAGATATAAGTATATATTAAGAAGTGATATCAAACTAAAACTTGTTAATGCATTCATCCTCACACATTTAGATTATTGTAGTACTGTATATTATTACCCTTTTATCACTGAGGAAATGCAACAGAAAATTCAAGTTTTACAAAACCATTGTATGAGGTTTTGTTTCAATGAGATAAACAGACGCGAACACATTACTGGGTATTATGTAAGGAAAAATCTTTTAAAGTTCAAATATCGCTCGTTACTTCTCTATGCTGTTCTACTATTTAAGGTTTTAAAATATAAATCTCCGAAATATCTTTTTGACACATTAGATAAAAGATCTTCACTCCATCAACTGTTCCTCCGTAATGAATATTGTTATAATATACCAGCAAAAACTACCTCAAAGTTTAAAAAATGTTTCTATTACATAGCTCTCAGTATACTAAATGATTACCCAAGTTTATTTAAATTCACGTCCATTCACAGCTTCAAAAGAGAATTCAAAAGAATGCTGTTACAGTTACAATTTAATGAATCCACAAGTGGCTGAATAAATCTCATTATTAATCTCATTATATTTTAAAGTTTTGTTAGCATTATTATAGTCAACCAAATATCCTTTATGTAATGTATATGATATACTCTAGTAAGATATAGTAATGCACTTAATGAATTTACCTTAGCTATTCAGGCGGGGGTGAAAAATGGCTATGCCAATCCCCAGCCCTTTGGAGTATTATTTTTTTTTTGTGTTATATTATTTGCTCGTATTTTGATTCTATTATGTATTAATACTCCAATAAACATCATTATTATTATTATTAAATTTCACCCGCACCAGCGAAATTGGACATCGCTGTCAGTGCCGCCTATCTGAAACGACAAAACTATTCAAAAAGATCCCTCTTCCGATTTATCCTTTGAATGGGTCAAATTAACAAGTCAGAATTCTGATTGATGCTCGGATAGTATATTTTAAGATAAAAGTCACAGATGAAAATTCCAAGATCGCTACATGACGTAACACTCCAACAATAAAATATGAGACATTTCGTTTAAGAAAACTTTTGATATTTTTTTGAATGTGGTGATTTTTATTTTGTTTCATATTCAGATGGAAGTAGGTTTATAGTATATCTTACCATCGCGTTTTCCTGATTGAGTTTCAATGTACAGGAACGTTCAACTTTAACAGCCTTGCAAGTCTGCGATTTTGAAAGCAGCCATTTTATATTCTAGGGTTACAAAGTGCTCATAAGGAGCTTTACAATGAGCGATAGAAAAAAACGTCCTCGTTTGGGGCCCATCCGCCATTTTGAAATATTCGTATACCGCTATAAAATATTGTATTCATGCATTAATTTCAGCACCGCGAAATTCATCTTACCAATTTGGTCCGTTCAAGCATGGTGTTGATTATATTTCAAATTTCAGTAAATACACATCAAAGAAATAGTATTATTCTTCTCATTTTGTACCTCGTGCCGCACGCTATCACCATACTATTTGTTCAAGGAAACTTCCTCTTAAATTTCCGAGCGGTATCGTCATATCAAAAGTTTTTCGAGCGTAAAGAACGTGAAATAACGGGAGCGTCTGAAGTCTAAAGGAGGAAGTCAAGAGATGCGGCTCTGGGGTAACATTAGATACGCCGCAGTGGAAATGGCAGAAATAACAGGCAGCAGGAGAAGTAGGGATCGTAAGCAAGATCTTAGGTGCAATGTACACTGGAAATCCGACTGTCTTAAGCATGTATATTGTGTATTCTGTATTTCATAAAACGCAGTTACACTATACTGACGTCCTTATTATTTGGATTTTAAGCTCGCTGCTGACAATGCGGCGTGCGTACGTGATGCGTCAGCTTGATACGAGAATTGGAGGTTAATCCGTGATATATGGGCGATGCGTGGATATTGAATGGGTGTTGCAATACACGTTGCGTTACACGCATTTTGACTACGAGGCTTTAATCTCAGAATGCAAGTCTTGCAAAATTCGAACTACTGATTATGTGGTGTCATTTTGTTTAGGTTGTGCCCGCGTCACTGCCTGTGACACCGGGTGTTTCAAATTCGACTCCTACCATTGGGATATTGTAAACTGTAAGAGATACGAAATCACTTAAATAGCGATAAAGCTGTGCATTTGGATAACTAATAAATTGGCAAATAGAAAGTTTTGCGAATCCGAGTATTTATATTAATATATACATATATAGGTGTTATATATTAATATTTTTTATTTTTTCCTGACTTTATTTGAGAACGGATCAGAATAAAAAAGTACATTAACATTACCAACTTCTTCTCTTCTACAAGACGGCATAATTAAAATTTCATAGTGATTTGATTTTTTCTCATTCACACCATATTTAAGGGTTTTTCACAGCTATCAGAGAAAAATTAAAGGGATTTTTTGATGTAAATTCAATATATTACTTTAACATAATACCATTTTTCCAATTTTTCTGCTATAATTTATGGTATGCTGTGGAGTCGTTGTGAGTAATTCTACTTTATCTTTAAAAATCAGTTCAGTGACGATACCTATGAGCAAAAACCAAAATAATTCAGATCGCTCAAAAATTTTGTTTTATACTAGGGACTCGTATCATAAAAGTGGTTCAGATGCAACTGACTCCTTGAAACATTCATGAAATCGGTTTGATGAAATGGGTATCTCTAGTGTGTATCGCCCCTAACAGACCAGCAGGATTCGTAGACAAGAGCTTGTATAAAAGAAATGTCTAGTTGAATTATTACGCGTGCAGAGGAAGCACGTATGTTGCAGAATGGGTTTTGTTGTTCTATTTTCGTAAGTTGAGAATAGAGGAAGCTCTAGGATGATGTTTGCGGTGCTCAGAGATGGGTAGTTTTCGTTGCATGCTTTCAAAAAACAGAATCTATCCAAGATCCAAGCATCGAATGGATTCAATGAGTGCTGCAATGCAAGCATTCCACTTCATCTGGAGATAAGAAGATACAGAGCAAACAAAATTTTCGAGAAATAACATCGTTTATCAGCACAAGTTACACGTGAAGCTTCCAAATTCTCAAAACTTTTTAAAATAACTAGATATGTTCAGCTAAACTGTAGTACAATCTCCTCGCCATAGACTGGCGAACTCTCTTAAGGAAAGCTCGGGCAAAGAGAATATCCCTCGGAATACCCCCGGCAAAGCCAATTTCCTCTTTTACATCCAAACCATGACTCGTTTCATCGCAAAGAGTACATACACATACTTAACAATCAGCAATAAATTTTTGGAGTTTTATTCAGCTATCTATTTCTTAAAGAAGAATAAATAAACAGTCACATAAGAGTCAGTTCAGCTATTTTCCTCAATTCTATTAATACTCCCAATAATAGTATAATACTTAAGGATCTGGCTTGACATGTCGTTAAACGGAGCAGTTTTCAGCAACGAATTCGTATAGATCAAGAGTCAAGCCTATACGTTTTAATAATAAATTGTACATTAATATTGCCATTTTTTCTCCTCTACAAGATGGCATAATTAGAATTTCAGTATGCGTTTCGTCTCTTATCGGGCAGCATTATATCCAGATGAACAGAGTTTTAAATTCTGATTCCAAAAATGTATAGTACGTCTTACATGAACTTTGCCAAAGCTTCAATAAATAAAATAATTAGAAAAAAAATAGAATTTCGAAAGAAAAATAAAGTTGATGCTGGAGGACAAGGGGCGAAATATCATATTGGAATTCTAATTATGCCTTCTTATAGAGTAGAAAAAGTGGCAATGTTATTGTGCAATTTATTTTGAAATCGCACTAAAAATAAAGTGAGGAAAAAATTAAAAAACGATTTTGAAAAAGTAAATGAGTAAATTTGAGACTTGGTATCTTTTAGAGTTTCCAAGATCCCAATCGTAGGGGTCGAATTTGAAACACCCTGTATATACGGGTATGTATATACATGCATGTATTGTGTTTCAGCTCCTCGGAACGTTTTGGAACCATATCTCTATAATTAGTAAATTTTAAATACTTACATTCTATGTGTATTAAATAACATAGGGAAACATTACACATGCGGTAGGGTCTAATGATTCTATCGCCTCACAACAAAGCTAATAGTTCTACAGTGCAAACGGATTTAGCTCAAGATAAGTTTTCAACTTCTGAATAAATGATGATAGATGGACCTTTTCATGTCGTACACCTCGTATCAGTGCTTTAAGTTAATCAAAGTCAAACTTCACACATCTCATTTTTTTAAGTAGCCATTTGCATGCCAAAAATGATTTTAGTGACGTTTAACCCTGAATAATTTAAGTTACAGGCATGAGATTACATTGTATGAGTCCAACAAATTTTCAGCTTATCATCTTTAGTTCCAAGAATTGCTCTATGTATAGACTTATTTCACTGGATTGATTTACAGTGGAGTATTTGCTGTTTAGTGTTGGTGGAATTCAAACCCACAAATCTCGTATCCTTTATTCTTACAGGTGCGGTCTGACTAACTAGTTGTTAGGCCACGCCAAGCATACTCGTTATGGAGGAATGACACAAGGCCTATGGTACAAAACTTATACCTTAAGCCATAGAAGGAAGACCTACGCTAGTGCTGTCTCTGAAGCAGATGTTACATCATGTCAGAACCACAATACATAACTTAAGCGTATTGATGTTTAGGCAACACACACAGCTTCTATAAGTGAACATGAAGTCAATAATAGCTAGTTCCTGATCACAATAATAGCGACCAGATCGCTATCAATATCCCAATAAGGGCGCCAATCTATGCCCCATCACCGATGCTACTCTATTTACAATCTCACTGTTTCTGCTGTCTGAATAAGTAAATTTCGTTTTTCATAGAGCATCGTCCAGCCCGCAAGGACTACAATAAACTGACAGGCGGTGAAGAACAGTCGAAAAGCGACAAAAGTCACGCCACTTCTGCTTCCGAGGATGAAGAACAACTGGATAACCAAGATGCATACCGAGGTATCGACGAGAGTGGCAATCACATTTCGGGAGATTCGGATACGGATTCCAGCTTCACCGACATAGAGATGGACAACAGGGATGACTTCTCCGATGACTCAGATTACGGTAAGCCTCTTTAAACGATATTTAATTTTTCAAGATACTGTGTGAACAGTGGCAAATTTTAGAGGGCACAAAGTCCAGCTATAAGTTATACTCTCCCTCTATTTTTTTATATATACCCTCCAGAAGAAAAAAATGTAGGTACATAAAAGTTATAGGGTCCAATATGCTATCGAATAAAGTTATATTTTTTAAATGGAACACCCAATATATTTTCAGAGAAAATGATAGTCCTTTTTTCTAATTCACAATATATAAATATGTTATGCCCCCATACCGAGAACTTTCATTAAGCATTTTTGCACTTAATTTTACGCGGATTACCTCTCTTGAGACATTTTCATCAATTTAGTTTGATTTTTTAAGGAAACGGCCTAGCATTTTGTTAAATATACAATACCTTGAGAATACTGTAAAGTTAGTGAAGTTGAAAATTGTACAACGTATATTAGGGAAAAATAAAGCGACCTGACCATAATGTTATGAGAAATTAGTCACTCTATCTCTAAGAAGCGCCACTGATGGCGTAAAAGCCTGCTGTATCTTGGCACACTGAGAGCCAGCGATGATCCTGATCTTGAGCATGACCTTGAAATCAAGATCTAGTCCATTTTTATAGCTGTTAATATCGGAAGTGTATAGAACGGAAAATTTTTCGTTTAGATATGACTGGGTCAAAATTATTTTAACCTTGATCGTCCCTAGTCAAGTTCAAGCCTTGAAGTAAAAATTTTCTGCTCTGTCCGTTTACGTCAAGCTCATGGCAAAACTCAAGGTCGTCAGTGCAAATTCTGAGAATAACTGAAGTGGTGCCTTTTTGCATTATATTCAGAAAGATCCATACACTTTTTCCAAATGAGGTTTTTCTGATGACCTTGATCAAGGTCAAAATAATTTTCACCCGAGGTGAACGTAAAACGTCATTCTGTCGTCAAAAGTATAGGGTCCCATTTAAAAAGTCAAGATATCCACTGAATATTCCCAAAGATCTTGTCATTCCTGGACTTCTGGATCACTCGGTATACTTAGTTCCAATGAGTTCACCTTTTTCCTATTTTTCTATTACCTCTGCTCCGAGGCCATTGGATCACCCTGAATACTTATTTCCAAGAAGCAGAACCTTTTTCTATAGAGGTTGATGTGTAATTACCCCTACTACTTCATTAAACTTTTCCATTGGATACCCGCATGCCATTGTATACCTTCTTTGTATTTGCGTCAGTCCCCTTTTCAGTATGCCACAGGCACTCGAATGCCTTCTAATCGCAAACAAGTCTGTCGAAAATTCCCCTGCTACTGTATTGTTGGAAAAGGGCTGCTGTGAGAAAATCGTCGAAATAGAAACCACCTGTTCTCGCAACTCGCAACACTTTCCGGAGTTATATAGGAGAGGATTTAATCAGAAACGTAAAAACAAACAAAGGCCAAACGCCTGCCCGCCACAATGCGACGCAAAAAATCGCCCCAATCTGACATTAAAGGGGGACTAACTTTAGAATGGTCTATACACGGGTATCATCGAAATCAGTACGAAAACGTTTAAAAAATGGATAATGAAATCTAACCAGATTTGGAACATCAGGGGTGCGTTTCTAAATGCAGATTGACATGAAAATTTACTCTGGAATACTGCGAAACTTTATTTTTAGAACGCCTAAATTATTACAGAGTCATGTAATGACACTTGATGACAGCCGACTAATTTCTAACAACGGTTTCTGCGACTGTTGTTGTAGTTATTATAAGACACCCGTAGGGATACGAAGTAGCAATTATTATGAAAAATATATATTCTGCCAGTTTTGAGCAGTTTTTGATAACCAAATAGAATACATAAACACTGAACCATGAGAATGACAAGTGACAGAAGAAAAACAAACTGTTGACGCTCCAGAAGGATTACTTTGTTCTTTTTCCAAACGGATGTAATATGCACTCCAAACAATTACGAACGCTAAAATTGTTACAAAGTATGTACTTAGTACAAAATATACCCTATAACAATTTACAAATGCGGCCCAGTAGTGCATTTGCATCTGTTTGTTATTAAATGGACATTCTATCGAGGGCTACGCACGTTTCTCATTATTTGTTCCGAGCATCGATATAAATTCCTCTAAAAATCAATAGAGGGTTATGACACTTTCGAGTTACTGACTAAGTATATGTAGTTGTAGTCACCGTTCTTGGCGGGTCAAAGTAAGACTACCAGTATCACTTTATATATCTCCATCTCTCTCATACATACACAAGCAACCTACCCCTGTGTGTGAACGTTTGTTCGGTAAGCTCGTTTTTAGTTGTGTGTCTCCGTCTCGAAAACTTTGTCGTTACGTATGAATATCCTTCAATCTTATTTGTCAGACTGACAACTTGCTTGACTACTACTATTCGTCATTTGTTTGTCTGGGCAGTCTAATGTACGTTAGTCCAATCTGTCAGTCCTGGCTGCCCAGAAACCAGACAATGTCAAGGAAAAAGAGAAAGGGAAAGAGAAAAAAAAGGAGAAAAGCAAAGAAAAACCGAAGTGTGTAGTTTAAGAGGAAACACCTAGGCTTTATGACTTGGTACACGGATATATATATATATATATATATATATATATATATACGTATATATATATATATATAATTTTGAGGTGAACTCAACAAAGTTTGATTCGGTTTTGTTGGAGTGTAATTTTAAGTTTACTAAAAGTTGGCGCTAAACTTGCTTGACATCGGCTTTCAATTTGAGTTGTCCTGTTATCAATCTTCAATATAAAATTGTACAATGCCCGGAAATACCATCAATGGAGAAGGCCAACAGCTCGTGCTAAATTTATTAGAGTATTTCCAGGAAGAGAATGGAAACAGCGGTCCCTGTTACCCACTTCATGCGTACTGGAGAGAGTAACAGATGCGCTGAAGATTAGTCTGCGCAGGGTTCAGCGAATAAAATCAGAAAATAAGAAAGGTTTGCATATAGTAATATCTGTGGAAGCTCACAAAATCAAAAAATGCAACACCGATGATGTAAGTCAAAACAGAAATTAGGAATACTTTCTACGATATGAGAAGTAAAGGACAACATATCATGACCTCTGCGCTCAATCAGGAACTTAAATAAGGTACATACATATACAACGGCTCGGATTCAAGTTTAAGGCGTCTATTGAAAGCTTGCGGTTTCTCCTGCAAGACAGAAGATAACCGCCGACTCTTATGTGAAAAATCAGACATTGTTTCCGAAAGAATCTATTTTATGAGACATTATATGAATAACCTAAATAGTAAAAGCCCTCTTCAATGCATTTTCTTAGATGAAACGTGGATATTTGCTAAAGGGTCGCTTAAACGAGTTTAGCAAGATAAAAATGTAAAGCGACAAGCGGTATGTTGTTCTACAAGCTGGGATCAAAAACGGTTTTTTGAGAGATACCGCATTGTTATTTGCTACACAATTAAAAAGTGCTGACTACCACGATTCTATGGACAAAAATTCAAAAAATGGGTATGTGGGAAGCTGATACCAGCGTTACAAGCGCCATATTTAGTAATCATGGATAATGCCTCTTATGATACTGCCTTAGCAGAAAAAATGCCAAATTCCATTTGGTGTAAAATGCAATTGAAGCAATGGCTGCAAGGCAAAAAGATACATTTTGATGATGATGCCTTTCAACTCCAGCTTTTAAATCTAAGTCGCCTCAATACACCATCAGCTCCAAGATATACCATAGACGAAATATTACATGGACATCGGCTCCACCCTTACCATTGTCAATCCAGCCCTAATGGCTATAGTGACAAGGAAGTTTTGAAAGATTTGGACGATGCTCTAGCGAATGTGACTCCCACAGCTTGGGCCAGGTGTGTGAAACATACCGAGGACTTGACTAAAAACGACTGGGACAAGAATCAAGTGTTTAATAGAAAGGAGACTAATATAATCATTCACTTGGGAGAAAGTTCAGATGTCTTTGATCAAGAAATCCAATAATTCATGCTTTTATTGAAACAATTTAGAAAATTTATAATTCTTAAATTTCTATGATTACACCTTAATGTAGATTGTTAAATATTTTTATAGATATGGAAGTTACAAGCTTGATGTTTATTAAGGCGACATAGATTTAAAAAGTCGAGTTTAAGAGCAGCATCATCAAACTGTATTTTTTGTCTAGCAGTAATTTATTAAGTCGCACTTTACTCCAGAAAGAATTGAGCATTTTTATTGTTGAAGATGGTTCTTCTAAAGCTCCCATAAGCTTGTCACATATCCACATCCGACGTTAAATGTTCCGTCAAGTTAGCAAATATGGTAGATGTGTTATTTTGTATTATATTGTAAATTCCGTATGTATTTTTTATTTCAAATTTAAAAACATCAAATGGCGTGAGTAGATGTCTTATGGGGATTCGGTCTCAAAACTTCCAAAATCCGCCACCAGAGGCGCTGGCGTCGCGCGCCATTGACAGGTTGTTGGACGGAATCTGTAATCATGAGTTGGGGATTCCGCCGCTAGATGGCGCTGTCAAACCAAACGGAATATGTGTGTCATTGGACACCTGTCATGCGTCATTGGGCATCTCACGCATAGATAGCGTTAAAACGTCATCTGTTATACGTCATTGGACACCTGTCATTGATGGGTTGGGCATCTCGCGCATAGATGGCGCCGATTTGTTTGGCGCTGTACAAACCAAACGGAATCTATGTGTCATTGGACAGCTGCCATTGATGGGTTGGGCATCTCGCGCATAGATGGCGCCGATGTCGCACCTGTCTGGTGTTGGCGTGGATTACGGGGGGCATTCAGAACGTGTATACAGGGGTGCATCGAAAAATAGCGGATCGATGGACCGACGGTATATCGTTAAATCGTATATAGCAAGGCGTGACCTAAATAGCGTGGTGGGCTCCTCTGGTCGGTCGGTCGGTCGGTCAGAATGTCTCATAACCTGTATACGATGTACTGTTATTATTATACAGGATGATACCGTTCAAAATGAAAATAGTATAGACATTCTGACAA